GATATGCTGCTACAAGATCGACTGCAGACCCATCCATTCACATTTGGCGAGTGTTCAATGTTTGGTAAGGAAGGTGAGACACATCACTTCGTGAGAAATCTCATTAGTCTCTCTCCATTTACAAGAATAGATATTGTTCTTTTATTTAAAAAATGACAAAATTTAAAAAATAACAAATTATGCCTCTGTGATTCTCTATATTGAACAATAATAATAGGACATGTAAGAGTAAAACGAGGTAATTTGAGCGTATTAAATATTGTATATCATTCCTTTCTAAAGTATAAAATTCGAACGTTTTGATTCTATTTTGAGTCTTTATCAGTGATTTCGACTTTTTTTTATTTTGAGTCTTCATCAGCAATTTAAATAACATTTTTTGAGTTATTACCATAGGTCTGTTTTCTATAGCTGAAGTAGTATAAGTACACTTTTGGAACTTAAAATGAAATAAATACATATATGTTTAATATTTGGTGAAAACAAAAAAAAATGTATAGTGCAGTCTAATGTAGGAATGAAAAACATGAATGAATTTTAGATAATTATATTATATTAGTATTAATATAATTATATTAGTATATAAAGATAATTATATTAGTATTAATCATCGATATTAATGATTTTCTGTCAAGTTGGAAAATAATTTTTCCCCTTTTTCTAAGAAACTTTATTTTTTAAGTTGTGTCACTCTTTAGAAGGAACGATATGTCTCAAATCCACTTATTGTATAACTTCACAGTGAATTATATTTGCCGTTAAACATATTTAATCAACTGTATTTGTAGTCAATCGAGAAACCAAAACTAAATCCTAATGAAGCATAGAAAGGAACATAAAATTCTCGAAAAAAGTAAGAAACGTTAAATTTTCTATTTCTTCGTGTTTATGAAAGAGTTGATTCACAGTCAATCATATCTTCATCATAATTACTTCGTATTGATGTGATTTATAATATATCACACATATGTTACTGCACGATAATTCGATGTTTATAACGAGTAAACAGCGCATACGCGTGAATAGATCGACACTGCAGATTCGCAGCGTATCTCTTGATTCTCGTAAAAAAAATTATCGTAGCAAAGTCTATTTTCCCTGGAAGCTATTTGTACGTCGAGTACGCCATCCGAATGACGACGCGTGATTATCACAATGTTGACGAACAGAACGATGACGCGGTCCAAGGAGCTGCCGCGAATAATAAGGAAGCACTTTGAGTCGACACCGTTCGCGTGGTGCGCGAAGTCATCAATTGCGTCTCACTGCAAGCTTGATTAAAGCACAAAACACGGCGTCACGGCAGCGACCACGGAGCTATTGCGATCCGTTACACACTCGCGTGTGCACGAACGGTCGCGCGTATGCATGCTGTTGTTAATTGCACGTTGGAAGTATGCACGGAACGATTGTGTGTGCCTTAGTGTGGCCACGTTTCTCATATCGCTTCTGCTTTTCGCGTGATATGTAAATGAACCTTATACCGCGCTCGCGGCTCGGGGCTCTTTTTGTACGAGAGAAGCATGCCTACTAATTTTCACTTCGATAGATACACCAAGGATGACGGAGCAATATAACTACGATCAGGAGGAACTTGCTATGCTGCACGAAGCGCTCCAGAAACATAATTGGATCAGGTACTTGCCATGTATCATAAATAATGCCTAGGGCGGTGGATTGTAATTTCGGGCAAGAATTAATTGCCGGTCGATCGTGTGGACATAGCTTAAACGTTTGATCGCGTGTGCGTGATAAGTCATGGCGTGACTCTACGCGTGTCGAATTTAGGAAAACTAAAGCGAGACACGCATGTAATTATAAAGGAGGTTGGGCGAGGTCGGAGTGGCTGGAATGAAACAGCAAGTAAGTTACGTCATCGAAGTCACGTTTCTGGCGTCTATTATCTTGAGATTTGAACAATGAATTTTAGACTCCATATAATTTCCTGGTGCTCTCCACGTTAGATTTTCAGAAATTAGAAAAACCTAAATATCAATGATAACCAAATGTTTTCACGTTCGCCTCCGTCGATTCCGCGTGCATCGCATGCAGAGCAGGGTGTATTAAAACTGTGATCGGCGGTACACGCGTTAATTAAAAGCAGGCGTTGTCTCGGAATTTTGAACGCGGCCCAGATGTTGGAGCCCGATAGGAACGAGATTAATAATAACTTGGGCGAAGTCTCGAAATTCTTCGTAAACGCGAGAGTACAATATCGTGCCTCTTTTGACATAGCATATTACCAGTTACGTCGATAATTATCGAATTGAGTGAAAGTTCCTCGGCGAGTTTTAATCGAATAAAGGATCTGTAACGTTTTCTTCTCCTGTGCTGTACCGTATGGTATAATACGAGCTTGAAAGAGATTCGAAATACGAGATAACAGTATCGACATTCGACTCGCGAGAAAGAAAGCGATGCCACGAGCGTAAAACTTGAATTATCTTTACGCACTTTTAATTCTTTATTCATATTTTATATTTACCAACACGATCACGAATATACGCGACAACGTGTTTGAAAGTGAGGCGAATAGATTTTTGTCTGTCATGGTCGCATAGCTCGAATATCTTCGACATCGATAATAAATAAAGCGAACCATCCCGGCTCCCGCAGGACTCACTCATTAATTTGCTTTAATGCACCGCAGCGTCGTGTGATCCCGCGGGGCTTATTATCAATTAAATTACCGAACGTGCTACAATTCAAGCGGACAACAATTAGCGAATGGCGACCGCTTTTGACTTATGTAAGATGTTTACGTCGTAAGTCAAAAGAAACCAGGCAAGAATGCTTTGTTAATCGTTATTTTAACTAATTTTATTATAATAAATAATAAATAAATAATAAATAAATAATAAATATTTATTTTAATAATAAATAAATAATAGACCTTTGCAGAAATCTAATACTTATCAATATAGTACTAAAAGACAACAATTAATTACACTTATTTCAAGTATTAAAAAGACTTGTTCAGTGCTTTTAGTATTCTGAATAAATAATTAATTATACTATTTTTCAGTAATAAATTGGTCAGTATTAGATTTTTAATACTATCCAGCAAACAAGCTGACGTTATTTAGCATCATTTTGACATTAAATGATACAAATTAGATTCTACCGCCAATCACATTCCAATAAACCACAACTAGCAGTTTGCTCTTTTTCGAAGAATTCTGAGCTAGTTCTGAACTAGTGCAATATGTTAGAGTGAAACAAACTATACCTGTCTCACTCTAACTTACTGCATCAGTGTACACCAGTTCAGAATTTGATATCGAAAAAGAACAGGCCTTGAACCGTAATCACACTACAATTTGCCGGTTATGGTTGCTGGTTGTCGGTTCTATTTTCACCAATCACGTTGCAGTTAACTTGCACTTGCTGCATCATAATTGGCTAAAATATAACCGACAACCAGCAACCTTAACCGACAACTTGTAATATGATTACGGCCTTACGATACTTGAAAGACAAACGGAATCGATACTAGGGAACATCATACTAATCATATGTAGGACTTGTTGATGTAAATTGCAGAAGTGTGTTTAGACACGGAAAAAAGAAAGTAAAACTGTCGTAAAACTGCATGTGGTAACTAAATGGCAGGTATAAAATATGCACAGCTAAAATATAGGTATCATAACTATAATGTCTTAGCTGTGATATCTATATTATAGCAACAATAGCAAACCATTTCGCTGTAGTTTATAAATTTATAGTTACGGTAGCAAATATATTATAACAAACCAAGATTAGCTGCGGCAGAGAAAATCTTTTTTTCTGTGGAAATATATATGATCGTAATAAAACCTGAAATAATTAACGAACTTAAAGCTCAGAGGAGTGCGGGTCACGAAACACCGTAAAATCCGTATGCTTTCAAAGTTTCGCACCGACTCTCTCCTCCGTTTCTTTCGATCTCTATCCCTCCACCGCCGTCTGACCTCTCTCGTCCTTGGTGCCCGCGGGAAATGAAACTTCATCTAGACAACACCGTGGGTGGAGTCAGCGAGTCGCTAATGGCTCGAGATGTCGCGTGGTGCCGTGCAACCACTCGGCATCGTTACGCCCGGTCATCCGCAGCGCGCCGACCGTTTTTCTTTTCCACTCTGCTCGTTTCCTTTTTTTGCCACGCGTCGCGCGTGAGGGATGAATTTTTCCGACTATAGCGGTGTCCTGGGTGGTCGCGGTATGTGGTGGCAGTGGTGTGGTAGCAAGTTCGTAGCATTCAGCCAAAGGCCGCACATTTTCCTGAAGTAATGCACACTAATCGATTCTATGTTTCTGAAACACAAACGTGCAGATTATTTCAAAATAATTTTTTTTAATCGTAGTAAAGTACACAGTATGAAATATCTGTCGTTCGAAGAATTACGAGTAGTAGTATATATCTCTTCAATCACGGTATTACATAATAAGCTCAGAAAAGATGAATCACACTGCAAATATTTCGACATAATTTTGTGAAATTTTTAAGTCTTTATTATATTTATTTGCAAAATGAATTTTACAAATTTCTATTGGAAATATTCTCAACTTTTCTCTACCGCATCTTTTTTTCTCTCTTATCTTCTTTTATTAAGGGAACTAATTGCATTTGGTCAAATATTAATCTTTGTACGCCGTCATGCACAAAACTTGCGAGAACTTATTCATCTAATGTTTCACCCGTGTTCTTTCTTCGCGAGCAGCGCGTTCAGTGTAAAATTTATAACATTTTGATTGAATACGTTTAATTATAGTGATGAAGACAGTGATTTTACGCGTTGAATGCTTACCTTGGAAACATTAAAAACCGCGATAGCCCGATATCGATGAAATTTTAACTACTCCCTAAACGCGAACAAGGGTACAATGTTTGACAATGGGGCGATATCGTGGTCTTCGGTAAAGTGTACCCAAGTTACTGTAGATCGACGAACGAGCAGAGTACCGCTTAGTTTTGCAATAATGAATATCATGGAAGTTCAACTGCGATTTCATCGTGTTCTTGTTTCGATTCAAGAAATTCACTTTGCAAAGTCAAACGTCACTTGATTTACTTGATTCGCTTTTCTGGTAAAAAGTTTAGAATCAGTTAATTGATAATACGAAACACGATCTCCCCAGCGAGCAATTATAAATATTTACGAACGATCAACTTCACGGAAGAAGTCCGCGGAAAAAAAATGCGAATTATTAAAGTATAGAAATTTCTTTTAAACAAAACAGTTTTCTTGCGTTACTTGCGCAATTTTTTTAACGTAATTACTCGCATGCAATGCTTCTGACATCTTAATACTATACTCAATTCTTTTTATGATTTACAATTAAATAAAGATTAATATTCTATACATCTTTTAGGTAAAGAGAAATGTGGAAAACATTTTTTAATTATGACCATTTGCTTATGTAATAATGTGTATAAATGGCATTAATATACTTAGTGAATTTATAAAGCTGAAGTTCTAGACACTCTTCACGAGCAACGAAGAGTTAACGAGAAATTAATAAATACTTTTTTAAACTAAAACAATTTTATTAACGAGAGATCAATAAGAATTTACGTGGATTTGAGTTATAAGAGTGTCAATGTCGGACCTTCTAATGTCACAGACATCGTTTTAAAAATATCTTCTAATCACGATGATAAAAATAGTGATCTTTAATATATATACTATGTATATTAATGATCTCCAATACATGAAATTGTCATGTAACTGATGTTGAAGGAGGTAAAGGATACCAGAAGAAGGAACACCTAAACATGCATTTGGCATCTGTAATTTGAAAAATACTCTCTGAAACAATCAGCCGCAGGTTGACGCATTTTTATCTTCTTTCTTCGGTAACGAAGAGGCCAGGCACGAGCTCTCAGCGACGATGGGCGAAACAAAAGTGCCCTTTAGTTTAAGGAGACCTGCGACCCGAATACCAGGCGCCTCTGCACAGACATAATTAATCGCTGTCTCTGACACCCGCTATGGTCTCCTCGTAAATTATATTCTCATCTCTCTTTTCCTCTCTATCTCACTCTCGCTTTTCTCTGTTGCACTTCTTTCCATCGTGTAGCTTAGAGTTTATGTCGTAAACTTTTCATTGCGCGTACAAACGTCGCTGAGGAGTCTCAGCGTGTTAATGAAGTGCTTCTGCGTCATCAAGTTCGCACTCGTCGAATATGCAACGGAGTCAATAACACCGCTATCTGTATACGAGCGACAAACATGAAATCCACGTGATAAATTGTCAATAAGCTCGGCCGTTTGTCCATTCGTCCGTGTGTAAAATGCATCGAACGTGTGCAAGAAATCGCCGCCAGTCGAACGCTCATTTTTCACGCCCGCTGATGGATTTCCACGCAACGCTCTCGAGAGATCGACTATGTTTCTCGTGGTGAAAGATTTGCTGCGAAACAGTTGTTGTCATCATTAATTTATCACTGATGCAGCTATCGCCTGGCACCACGCTGTTATTCGTTTATATGAACCACGTAGTATCCATGATCTTAATTTTATTTTCTTTCAATTACACGCATACGCATACAGCTCTCCCTATGGATCCGTTATGAAAACGATAGGACTGAAATATAATTTAAGCGTTGTGTATTACGCGCTGAGGATGATGACGATGTGAAAACCGGCGTCCTACGTCGCGATATCCACCGGAAGTATCGAACGCGCGTTCCACCTCAGCCAAAAGCGAATTTCTTCAATGTGATTTTATCGTCTCTCATCGGAACTTTATTTTGCGAAGACGCGCGCGAAAAGCCGGATCGAACGGGAATACGAAATTACGAATGGGAAACGAGTCCCGCGACTGTTCTTACTTCTTCCGCTTCGTGCAACTTTTCGAGTAAATCGGGAAAAACCTCGAGTGTCTTCATAGCCACAGCAAGGGCCGTGAAAAAGAAAAAGGCCACTGTTTACTCGTAATAGTACCTTCTACTGTCATTATCCGAGCGACGCAGTTATGCCACAAAAAAGTACACAAAGATGAAAGTCTCGTATTTTTCAAAAGATAAAGGTATATTCAAAAATGTAGTTTAAGCATTTTGAGGAATATTTATCAGCGATATATATCGAGAAAATTAATCAAAAAGTGTATAAATATTGCTACTTCACAATATTCATGAAGAGTTGCATTTTTAATTTATCGAGTTTTGTGTTCCTCGCTTCTCGGTTTTTTCTCGGCGCCGAAGCTAGAAATCATCGTCACCTCGTCGGCTTCCGTATGTTCTCGCGCGGTCCATGGGAAACGAGATCGTATGACCGACCGCATATTTTCGTTCCAAGAAATTTAATAACGCGGAATTCTCATCGGAATGTCACGCGCCAACTACGATCGAGATAGAGAAAAATATTCGGTATATTCCGATACCGATTACTATCACGGAATTAGGTTCCATGCATACATTCGCTTCGATAAACTGCAAAATTAGATATACAGAGTTTCGTATATTAAAGCAATAAAAAATATTTCAAGATAGATAGATAGACAGATAGATAAAGCGTTTATTGATGTTCAGGGCAAGCCCTCTAATAACATAGAAGAAAATTTTTAATACATATTAGCAGTATAATCGTAACAAAGAATTTGTGACAGAGTATTCATAGCGAGAAAATAGAAATGTCGTGGCAGCATTATAAATTACTAAAATTAAAATTACATATTACAAATTACTAATACAAATATATTACAAAGGTACACATTACAAAAATTACTGATATTGCTAGAATTGCAAAAATTTAAATAATATATATGTTTAATGGACACACACTTCTCGTTCATAATTTTGTACTTCAGTCACAATTCTTGTATTTTTGCAATTCTGGCTATATCAGTAATTTTTGTAATGTGTACCTTTGTAATATTTATTTGTCATATACCTATCTGGATGGCTAGCCCTATAGCTCCCCTCCCTAAAAAATCTTTGTGGTGGGGTAAATATGTATAGAAGAAGTGACGATATCATAGCGAAAGTATTACTTTCAGCATCAGCGACATGGGAAACGGGACCTCTGTGTGTTGTTGAGTAGTGGCTCTTCTGAGCTTTTTCTTCGGTGATCTTTCAAATATAAGCAAAATTAGACCGCGATCGGTTTTAACATTTTCGTATCGATCCCCGCGTCGCACCGTGATACGCCCATTCTTCTTAATATTCTTAATATTAATTTTTTCCCTATGGGGACTTGTGGGGAAATCTTTTTCATCAAACTTTCGTGCTTAAAGAAAGCAAC